ATGAGAAGATGTGAAGATGAGAGGATGTCTCACAGACCCCCACTATTAGAAGAACCCTGCGCTCAGACGCTCTCGGGAAAAACACACACTTTAATTTGCGTGATCACCCCTTTCTCATAATATGTATATATAGTTTTATTATATATATATATATTATATATATACATATTATATATATATTAAATATATATATGTTTACAGTCGATCTGACATCTTATCTGACATATATTCTAACATACTATCTGACATTCTATAATAGTCTATATTCTGACATACTATCTGACATTCTATCTGACATTTTACCTAGCATTCAGTCTGACGTTCTATCTGACATATTCTGGCATTCTATCTGGCATTCCTATCTGACATAAAGTCTGGCAGTGTGGCATTTTACCTTACATATTTTCTGACATTCGATCTGGCATTCTACCTGGCATTTCGTCTAACATTTTACCTGGCGTTTTACCTCACATTCTATCTGACATATTTTCTGACATTGCATCTGGCATTCTATCTGGTATTTGGCATTCTATCTGCCATGTATTCTGGCATTCTAGCTGGCCTTCTATCTGACACTTGATCTGACATATTTTCTGACATTCTATCTGGCATTCTTTCTGGTAAGGTTCGTGGTAGGGTTCGGGTCCGGCGCGCCCCGGAGAGCTCGCAAGCTCGCTATAGAGTGGCTATGTAGAGGGGGCTGGAATGGCAAACAATCATGTTGCGGTGTGTGGGTGGTGGCTGGGTTGGTGGGTGGGTTGGTTGGTTGGCTCGCTGTTTTTTTGCGAAGTCTTGTTAAAATCTAGAGACCCTCACCTGGCAGATGGGGACAAGAAAACATACAAAAACTACATGTTGGAATTTCTGACGGTCACCATAGAAGTGCCAGTCACAGCAAACTAACATCACTGGGATTGCATTATTTATGCAGAAAGAAAACATGGACTCATGACTCATTGGTTTTTGTTGGACTTGAAATGAAGTATGGTTTACCACAAATAGAACATAAAATGAGATTGAACATGGGACTTGAAATACCACATGTTACTCATATTTTTGTTGGACTTGAACATGGGATTGAATGTGCTCTTTTCATTTTAAACACTGGACTGCCCTTCGAACTAGCATAGACACTGCCAGTTGTAGGGATGGGAAGACTATGGAAGACTAATGTGGTTAAAACAATAATAAACCATCCCCCAAAACACCATTTCTATAGGTGGTATAGACCATTCCCAAATGGGTGGTTTATGGCATTGGTTTACCCACATTAATTAGTCACCTTTATTCACCATTAATCATCCATTAATCACCCAGCACTATTCACCATTATCCATTGGTTGTCTATTGGTTAACCTCAATTGGTTTGCTATATTGTTTTAGCCACATTAGTTTAGATGATGATTGGTAATCCATTCATCCATTAGTGCATTACTAATGATCATCTATTAATCCATTAGTAATGCTGGGATGATTAGTAGATGGGGGGTTCTATTACTGTATCCCATGAATATCTCATGAATATCCCATTACTATCCCATTACTATATGTATGGGTAAATTATAATATTTCACTAACCTGAATAGTTAGGCCATTTGGGGATGATTTCCCTATAAAAACCATGATTCCAGGGTTCGGGAGAACAGGGTTCGGTCGTTATAAATTACCCAAACATAGCTATTTAAAATGGTGATTTTCCATAGCTATGTTAGTTTACCAGAGGGTATCATCCTATTATCATCACACTATTGACCCACTATGAATCCATCCATGGTTTATAGCTAGGAACATCATCAAACTCAGAGGATTTTCCAGCAAACCATGTGTGATTTCCAGCAAACCATCTTATTATTAGTGATGGTAAATCTCCATTAATCACAGCTGATAATCATTGATTATCACTATTAACCACTATTAACCACTAGGAAAACCATAGGGAAACCATGAGGCGGAAGTTTTGATCCCATAGATATAGACATAGATATAGATATATAATTATATCATATTATATATATATCACTAGGAAAACCATAGGGAAACCATAGGAAAACCATATGGATAGTCATATTATTATTATTCAATAACTTCTCTCGAGGACTTCCCATTTCCGAAAAAAAAGCTTCGAGGTCACCGGATTCGTCGGCACCGTCGGCACCTGAAAAACGGAAGAAAGTGGACCGTCTGCTGAAAATTGATGGGATTTGATGATGATTTAATGGGACTAAATGATGATTTAATGGCGATTTAATGGTGATTTACTGGGATTTAGTGGTGATTGAAGGGTGATTTGATGGTGATTTGTGATTTAATGGTGATTTGATGGTTAATAATGGGATGTTTATAGGATTTCTACTGCGATTAGTAGTGGTAAATGAATTGCTATATATTATACATTGCTTATAATGGGAGATCATGCAAAAATCACATGTAGATAGAGGCAATCAAGCTGGCTAGCTGGGAAATCCTCGAACTAAACGGAGGTTTTTTTCGCTGGGACGTTTCCTCCTCCCCTTCAAAAACATCAGTCCATTTCGGGGGTTCAAAAAACATTTCGGTACCCTAAAACCATTGGTTTCTCCATTTACCCTCTGGTTATTTAACATAGCCATGGAAAATCACCATTTAATGGGTAAACCTCTATAAATGGGCCATTTCCCATGGCTATGTTAAATAACCAGAGGGTAAATTTGGAATCCCTCTATTTAGGACACCTGAATTAAACGTATATGTTTTTTTCGGGTGATTCAAAAGGAATATCTACAGCGGTTATCTTCCACACACCAACCAGTGTAATGCTATAAGCCAGGATGAAAGAAATCCTCGTTGATTCGTATGGAGGGTGCCATTTCAAATTGTACTTTGTTCAATGGGGGTCCTATCTAATTGATCAACGGTCTATTCATCTCAGTTTCACTGGCGCTTGATAATCCCCCATCGATGATCTTCACGGATTTTCGCATCACACATTAGATTCGTCCTTTGCCAAATTGCAGCAACCCCCATCCAATAGATAAACACCACTTGGACACCCCGGAATTCTGCGGCAAGAACATTCTGGTTCAAAGGTTCAAAGCTACAATAACTGCTTCATCCAACATTAAGTAGATATCATAACTCCAGTATCTTCCAGTGCAAAAAGTGGATGAAAACCCGAAAAACTTCACCGAAAAACTTCACCCAGCCTCGCCCTGGTCCACCATCCTGGGACGTACATGTGTCCTGACCAACAGTACCACCCCCACGCCGGGATGCTGAAACAGGAAAAGATGTCACGTGGCCCACCGTATTTAACCATGGGAAAATCCTACCCCAATAGGAGGGTTAATATAATATAATGGTTCATATATTGTTAACATATGGTTAATATAATCTATATATAAATATCTGGTTGGTGGTTGCTGCTAACCCCTCTGAAAAATGATGGACTTCGTCAAATGGGATTATTGTTCGCAATATATGGAAAAATAAAATTCATGTTCCAAACCACCAACCAGGGTTTATTTCCATGGGAAAATCCTAAGAACATAGATGAACATAGGGGGAACTTAGGGGGTACCATGACTTAGGAAACCTCCAATTGGCTCCAAAAACTCTCAAAATCAGGGTACAACAGGATGGTTCTTCTCGGATGTAAAGATGTTTCTTTCGTAGCTGAAACCTGGACGTTTTCGGTATGTAAACCTGTACTTGATGCTTCATCCAACGAATCGCAAGTAGGTTAGTAACGGTTAGTTTACCCCAGTCTTTTTGAGTGGATTCATCCTATTCAGGGCTTGGTAAATGTCCTAGTTACCCTCTGGTAAACTAACATAGCTATTGAAAATGGCCATTTATAGTGGATTTACCCATTAAAAATAGTGATTTTCCATAGCTTTTTGTAAACGTTTACCAGAGGGTAATTTTTCACATGACCCAAATATTGGGGAGATCATCTCCAACAGAGACTTTTTCAAGTGATGTGAAAGAAATCAACCATGGGACATTTACCAAAGCCTGCTATTTATCCCACAGTTCACCAGGGATATTTTGCCGGCTAACGGGCTCCGCGGCGTCCTCAGCGTCTTGTGAGGAAGTTTCTTCAGCGCCTGCAATGGAAAGTCACAAGAATTGACAAATGGTACTAACATGTATCTAGCCCACCGAATTCAGGTAATTTGTGCATAGAGTTACCATGTTTTTACCCATTTCTATGGGTCAAGTGAGTGTCAAGGTACAAACACTTCGGATGTTTTTTGCGACCTATAGGATGGTTCCCTGCTGTTGTGCCAGTTGTATCATCTCCAAGTACTATATCCACTACCTCTGGTAAACATACAAAAAACTATGGAAAATCAGCATTTTGAATGGGAAAATCAACGATTTCTATGGCCATGTTCAATAGCTATCTTTGTTTACCAGAGGGTATATCCACTATACCATACTATACCCCATTGGCAGTTCCAGAAGTGGATATAGTTCACCATAGTTCTAGGGGCCCCATCTCCCAACCCCCCGAGGGCTCGTGTGCGCTGTTCGGATTGCAGGTTTGTCCCTTTTCTCGAGGTAAAAAAACACATGGGAATTCACAATTTGTGTTACCTCCGGCGGAAGCGGCCGTAAATGGGCAATGAAATGGGAAAAGGATCGAACTTATGTTTGATTGCTGGAGGGTACTTATATCACGAAATATCCAACTGTTCATTATGTACATCCAGTATCTTCTGGTTTGTCTCCCCAATGCTGATTTGAAGAAAACATGTCTGCTGGTCAACAGCTGTTTGTCAACCCGTGTCTTGCTGGTTTACATCCGGTGAAATTATATTATGTATTTATAATTATATATATAATTATATGTGAAACGCCAACATATATGCCTTGGATGTGCCATGCAGGTGTACCAATGTGGAGACCTCGCCGTTCGACCGGGCCAATGGCTCAAGTTCCGCAAGGTGTGGAAAACAGGCGGCGCGGACGCCGCACAAATCCGAGAAGTGTAACGTGGGACGTTCATCTGACGGCACAGGGTGCCGGTTGAGCCTTTTGGGGTTGTGGTTACCCCTTTTGTTGGAAACCCCGAAGGATTAGGGGAGGCTGGGCCCATACCTTTGTAGACTCCTCCCAGAGCTACATTGGTAGCGGAGCCCTGGGGGCTCACGGGGCACCGTGTAAAGCCGGTCGATCCAAGCAATGGCAAGCAGCTCTGAAGAGAAGGGCAGCACAATTTGGTCCCTTCTGCCGAGTTTCGATCCTGCAGTGGACAACGTGCGGGAGTATGTGGAGAAGGTGAGATTCATCGAAGCAGTGTGCCCAGACAAAGACAAGGGAATGTTAGCGCCACGGCTAGCAATGTTGTGCAAGGGTACAGCGTGGGGACAGGTGAAAGCCTTAGATGCCGAATCGCTTACTAGCAAAACAGAAGGAGTGAAAAACTTGCTCAAAGCCTTGTCAAGCTGGGAAGAGTCAGCCGAGATGAAGACGTACGAGTTGTTTGAAAAAGCCCTATACAAGACCAACCAGAAGGCCGACGAGTCAACCACCAGCTTCGTCAATCGACTTCAGGTGGCAATGGATGAGTTGGGAGCCGTGGATGTCAAACAGTTTCACGCCTTCCTGCTTCTCAGACAAAGTGCACTAGGAGTAGAAGACCGCAAGCGTGTCCTGACGATGACTGCGGGGGACATGAAAGTCTCCAAGGTCGAACAATCAATGAGGACGTTGGCAACAAGTGTCTTGTCGTCCGGAGCTGAACCCAAAAAACGGGTCTATCCAACCAACTATGTGGAGCCGGAAGTTGAACAAGATGCCAATATGGCCACCACATACCATGTCGTCTATGAGGAGGACGAGATCGATGCAGAGACCCTGGAACAAATGGCCCAAAATGGGGACTCCGATGCTCTCAACATGGTGAGCTTCGAGAAAGACTTGGAAGAGTTGTTCCAAGAAGTGCCAGACCTTCAGCATGCCTTGGTGTCTTACCATGAAGCCCGAACAAAGATCCTGGAAAGGAAGAAGTCGAGGGGATTCTGGCCGCCCTACAAGGGCAAAGGCAAGGGCGGGTACAACAAAGGGTTCAAGAAGGGATCTGGAAAAGGGGGGCTGTTAGCCCGCATCGCACGCACGAATTGCCGTGCCTGTGGAGAAAAGGGGCATTGGAAAGCTGAGTGCCCTCACAAAGGCACCAACAACACGCAGGACAATGTGAACCTTGCGATGCACCAGGAACACCGGTTCACCATGCCCAACAACGACCAGGATGCCCAGGTGATCTTTGAGCAGATCACGGAAGAGGATGAGGAGATTCAGAGCTTTGCCGCACACTGGGAGGACTGGGATAAAAGTGGGGAATGTAAAGTAATGAAGATAACCTGGGGTGATAACCATAATGGGGTAAAAAGCATGCCAAAGAGGGAAGACCAATCCCAAGTGGACACTCCGATCCACGATGCCTATTGCCTGCAAGAATGTGTACCAAGGGTTCAAGAGTTTTTTGCCCACCGCCTGCCGCACAGGAAGTCACCCAGCCTGATGAAACCCACCACCACTGATGTGGAATGCCTTCATAGCAGCCTTGACATGGAGAATGTCAAACAAGCTGGCCTTGCCATTTTGGACACCGGAGCCAGCCGAAGCGTAGTAGGACTTGACGTCTTGCCACATGTGTTGAAAAGCCTGCCGCCCTGCGTTCGTGATCAGGTCAAAGAGAAACCAAGTCACATAGGATTCAGGTTTGGAAACAATCAGGTGACGTACAGCCAGAAACAGGTGCATATTCCCATTTTTACCAACACTCACAAAATATGGATAGTAATTGAAGTTGTTCCTGCCGCCACACCCTTTTTGCTGTCCATTCAAGCCATGAAGATGTTAGGAGCCCAGATCAATTTGTCCAACAACCACTGCCATTTGTCAAAGATTGATCGTCAGCTGAGTTTGCAAGAAAGTAAAAATGGCCTGTACCTTATCAGCATGTCTGAGCTGTGCCTGCCTTCAAAGCCTCGTTACCAGCAAAGTTTCACAGCCGAAGCCGATCGAGCACCAAGCTTTCAACCACCGCCAGGCCTGACTTTGCCGTCCTGTGGCAATCATGCCAACACAGGGAGAAGCCATGCGCATGATCAAGAGCACAGCAGAGGCCATCATGGAGTCTTTGCGCCTGTTGCTGGTGATATTGATGAGCCAGTTGGAGGTGAGAGCGCCGGACCAGGAGATTGCGACAGATCATGCTCAGGTGTTGTCAAACCTCCTGAACGAAGTCCAGAGCCAGAAGGGACGCATCGAGCAGCTGTCAAAGATGTTGCAGGGCAAGACTTTGTCAGGTTCACCAAGAAGAACCAAAAGCAATGGGTCAAGCAGAAATTTCGAGATTGGCGACCAATCGGACGCTTCATGGGATCTAGAAGAGCTGGAGATGGGGAGTCTGGGACCGATACCCACGACCAACATGAACATGAACATGAACCAGCCGACGGCGCACCGCCTGAAGATGCCCAAGCAGTCCACAACCGCCCAGAGCTCTCCACCAAGAGCCACAGCAGCAGCTCAAGGGGCGAACGATGTGCCCGAGAGCCAGATAGCTCTCACGGCCCAAGCCCTGGAGTCATGGGGCAACAAGAGAGTTTCCTGGGGCAAGACTCACAATGGGTCCCGCTTCTCGGAAGTGTACGAGCAGCACCCAAACTACGTGGCCTGGATCTCCGCAAGATCCGCAACGGCCAACGTCGCAATGCAGGACTTCATCATGTATGCCCAAGCTCGAGAAGCCCTGGAACATCGAGCACTGAGAGCAAGCGCGTGAACCCGGCACCTAAGGAGCCAACATATGATGACCTATTGATAGAAAATGAAGATGAAATGAAATGGCTCCTGAATTGCATCCACCATATGCCAAGACGCACCCCTAGGATTGACTTGCTAGAGGTATACACCGAGCCCAACAGTAAGTTAGTTGATGAAGTCAGGAAACATGGGGGCCAAGCTATTAGGTTCACAAGGGAGGATGGGGATCTATCCACTCATGCTGGACAAGTAGCACTGTTGAGAAAGATTTTCCTTTTGAATCCCAAGCACGTATGGCTAGCTCCCGAGTGCCGCCCGTGGGGTCCATGGAGCAGATTTAACCAGATGCGCGGAATCACTGCCTTCAACCGAGTACAAGAGGACCGCAATCAAGCACAAACTCACCTGCGTTTATGCGATCTGATTTTTAAGATTCAGATTTCCAAGGGAGACCACTGTCATGTAGAAAACCCAGGTCCTTCCAGCATTTGGAACCAGAAGGAATTCGAAAGAATATGCCGTTGCACCAAGCCAGCATTTTTCGATCAGTGTGCATTCCAGTTGAAGCATCCGGAGACTGGGGAGCTCATGAAAAAGAACACTCGTGTACAGACCACTTCTGAACAGGTTTGGAAAGCCCTAGACAGCCGTTTTTGCAATAGGAATCACGAGCATGCCCAGATAGCCGGATCATGCCATTTCAGGGGTCAGCGCATTCCCCTGTCGCAATTTGCTTCGTTTTATCCTACGGCACTTGCCAAGAGCATAGCCAAAGCCGTGGTGAGCCCAATGCCAGACCCGCTCAATTTGCCATCTGATGCATACGTTCATGATGGGCTTCCAGCAGTTGAGATTGAGGAACCACCCAAAAAGAGAAGCCGATTTCAGGTCCCCAGGGGTTTGAAACGGGAACATCAAGAAGAAGAACCACCTAAGATAGTAGATGATGCCTGGAATGAAATCATGAACAGCTTGCGCCAGAGCCTGCCCAAGTCAGGCGTGCAACAGTGGGACGGCCCACACCAAGAGCTTGTCAAGAAAATCCAAAGCCTGTGTCCCGAGCACCAAATCCAAGGAGTCATGGCATGTAAGGGGAGAGAAAAGTTCATGATTCACCCGGATAACCTGTCCCATAGAAGAACAATAGTAACAAGCCGGGGTAAACATGAAGTATATGATCTAGGTTGGGAAGATCTCCAAGAAATGTCCAAGAACCAACGAAGCCGAAAGGCATTCTCATCTCATGTCATGGTTTGCGTGTTCGGTCGACCGATCGAAGCTGGAGCCAGTAATTCAGAACCGGCAAGGTCTGCACCCGAGCCTCCACCGGAAGCTGAGGACACAGTCGATGTTCCAATGGCGAAACCGGAATCCATGGAAAAGCCGTGTGACAATGTAGATGTCCCAGCCAGCACATGGACATCCGCAGCAGCAACCATCTCTGGGCCAAAATTCCTTGCTCTAGAACCTTCCAAGCAAAGGGTTATCCAGAAGCTACATAATAACCTAAGCCATCCCACTGCAGAAAGATTGGCCAAGCACCTAGCAGAGCAAGGGGCTTCCACTGAGATGATTGATGCAGCCAAAGAATACCTGTGCGCCTCTTGCGCCGAACGCAGACCACCGTCGCTGAACCCACCAGGTGTCCTGAAGGAAGCACGTGACTTTAACCAGCGAATCTCTTTGGACGGTTTCGAGTGGAAAGGTCAGACTGGTTTTCAAGGTTATGTCATACACATTATCGACGAAGCCACCCAATTTCACTTAGGACACCGGTCATGTCGCGACACAGCAAGCACATGGAAAGTCTTTTCCGAGAGTTGGCAAGCATGGGCCGGAACACCACAGGAAATCATGATGGACTGCGGAGGAGAATTGGTTTCTGATGAAATGAAAAACCTCCTACAACAGGAAGGAATCAAACCAATTCTAACAGCTGGACCATGGCAGAGAGGTAGGATAGAGCGTCATGGCGGGGTAGTCAAAGAAATGTTGTCCCGAATTGACAGTTGTAGTCCTATCAAAAATGATCGAGAGTTTGATCAAGCACTGTCTCAAAGTTTTCGAGCTAAAAACACCATGTCGTGTATCAATGGATACAGCCCAGAACAAGCCGTTTTGGGACGCGCCACGAAGTTGCCAGCTTCAATTTTAGGTGACCAAGATGACACAGCCCATCTGCAAGCCACCGGCGACAGCCCAGAAGCCGACCGTTTTCGAGCAGCTTTGGAACTCCGAACTCTGGCCAGAAAAGCTTTTGTTGAAAGTGACAATTCACAAGCCATCAGAAGAGCCCTTCTGAAACAGTCCAGAGGAGTTCCAATAGAATGGCAATGCGGCCAGCCATGCATGTTTTGGGATCGTCGCAAGTCACCAAATATGTTGGAGAAAGGCAAATGGTGCGGACCAGCACAAGTTGTTCTCGCCGAGTCCAAGACGATTGTTTGGGTAACACACATGAACCGTTTGCTTCGATGTGCACGTGACAATCTCCGACCAGTCAGTTTAAGAGAACTCCAGCACCATCCGACCTTTAGCCAACAAGTTGAACTCGCGCGCATCCAGCAAATGTCAAGCCAACTGCAGGCCCGACTCCACGATCGAAGTGGCATGTTCCAGTTTTCAGACATGGGCGAAGATCCAATCGTAGATCCCGAAGAAATCAACCGTAGGGAACAAGCAGCCTTGCAACCTGAAGAAGAACCTACCCGAAGAGCCTCAAACATAGAAGTCCCAGAAATGTCATTGGAAACACCAGTTGAAACACCAATACCCAATGACAATTTTGAAAGTGACCATGCCGGATCGTCATATGAACCATCACTTGCACCCTCAAACCCAGCGGAAGGGGCAGAGAACATGAGAGAAAACTCACATGTGTCTTTTGGGGAAGCACCCTCTGTAGGGGAGAGCCAGGGGGAAAATAGTGAAGCTCACCATGTGGCCACTATCGATAACGTAGTCCACGATGCTTGCATAGTGGAATCTGTTCCTGATGGTCCTGTCTTGCAAGGTGACGAAGAAACACTTTGGACAGATGCGATTGACCAATCGCTGGACCATTGCAGTTTTGAATTCGAGATGCCCTGGCAGCTGGTTGAAAGGATTTCACACCAGCCCAAAACACACGCCGTGCTTCTGACAACTGCGGCCAAGAAGTCCCGAGCCGAGGTGAGGTATTCCACGCTTAGCTCAGAAGAGAAACAACTCTTTGACCGAGCTAAAGACAAAGAGCTCCGTTGCTGGCTTGAAACAAGCACTGTGAAAAGGATCCTGAGGAATCGCATTCACCCTGACAGAATCATGACCTCCAGGTGGATCCTGACTTATAAGCCAGACCCAACGTCACCGAGCGGGCACAAGCACAAAGCCCGACTAGTTGTCAGGGGCTACCAAGATCCAGAAATTGATCAAGTAAACACCGACAGTCCAACACTTGGAAGGGATGCCCGTCAACTCCTTTTTCAAACAGTGTGTTCCTCTGGTTGGGATATCCAAAGCTTTGACATCACGACAGCATTCCTCAGGGGAAGAGCCGATGGAAGAGAACTAGCCATGGAACCAGTAAGCGAGTTACGAGACCTCCTAAAAATGGGTAAAGATAAAGTATGTTTGCTTGAAGGGAATGCGTACGGAAGGGTTGATGCACCACTCCTTTTCTATCGTGAACTCAGGAAGCAGCTGGAAAGTTTAGGCTTTAGGGCACATCCTTTGGATGGATGCCTCTTCATGTTGAGAGACCCTCAGAATCCACAAAAACTGAACGGGATCCTTGGCACCCATGTTGATGATGGTATTGGGGGAGGAAACGAGGTATTCGAAAAAGCATTGGCCAAACTCCATAAAATCTTGCCCTTTGGACAAAGAGAGTACCGAAAATTCAAGTTCACTGGCCTAGACGTTGAACAATTGCCAGATAACTCCATTCGAATCAGCCAAGGGGAATATATCAATAAGATAGATCCCATCAATATAGCTAAGAATAGGAGAGTCCAAAAGGATGAGACCGCCACTGAACAAGAAGTTCAGGACTTGCGTGCCTTGTGCGGCAGCCTTCAATACGCTGCTGTACACAGCCGACCGGATCTGGCAGCTAAGGTGTCGTTTTTACAGAAAAGCATTCCACAGGCCAAGGTTCAACATCTTTTAGATGGTAACAAAGTACTGTTGGAAGCAAAAGAGACGGCATCGACCGCCATCCAGATACGTCCGCTGCCTTTAGATGATATAACTTTTGCAAGTTTCGGCGACGCCAGTTTTGCATCCGCCTCACAGCTCCGAGCACAGCAAGGGTTGTTTGTAGTGGCATGTAGTAAAGCACTGAGTGAAAACAGAACTTCTGAAATCAGTCCTGTTGCATGGAACTCCAAGCAAATTGGCCGAGTAGTTAGGTCAACGTTGAGCGCCGAGGCATATGCAATGAGCTCATCCCTGGATAAGCTGACATGGATTCGATGTATGTGGGCTTTCATCCACAATCCTAGCTTCAAATGGCAGTATCCCGAAAAGTCTTTACAAGATGAACCAAAGGCACTTTTGATCACCGACTGCAAGTCTCTGTTTGATTTGGTATCCAAGTTAGCAACTCCGAACTGCCAAGAATGGAGGACAACTGTGGAAGTTATGCTGATCAAACAGCAGTCAGATGGTCATACCCAATGCCGATGGATATCGACGGCCATCATGTTAGCGGATTGCCTCACGAAGCCGATGGATGCCAGCTTTTTACGGACTGTTTTGCACTTGGGCCGTTTTCGTATCTTTGATGAAGATCAAACCCTCAAGAACAACACTCATAAAAAGATGGCGTCAAGGTGGATGACCAAACAAGATGAAGGCACATCCAAAAAAGAAAAGATACCAGTGTGAAACGCCAACATATATGCCTTGGATGTGCCATGCAGGTGTACCAATGTGGAGACCTCGCCGTTCGACCGGGCCAATGGCTCAAGTTCCGCAAGGTGTGGAAAACAGGCGGCGCGGACGCCGCACAAATCCGAGAAGTGTAACGTGGGACGTTCATCTGACGGCACAGGGTGCCGGTTGAGCCTTTTGGGGTTGTGGTTACCCCTTTTGTTGGAAACCCCGAAGGATTAGGGGAGGCTGGGCCCATACCTTTGTAGACTCCTCCCAGAGCTACAATTATATATATATATATATATGTATAATTATGTATAATTATGTATATATGGGGGTTTCCTGGAATGGGGTACCCCAATAGCTGGATGGTTTGTAGTGGAAAGTCCAACTATGATGATTTTGGGGGTAGCACTATTTTAAGAAACCTCCAGATATATCCCACATGTTCTGCTGGTCAAAGGCACTTCTTCTATTTTCAGCACTGCTTTCTGAACCACTCTCAGGTCGAAGAACATTTGTCCCTTAGAGCCAAGTCACAAAGACCCAGTCATGGCGGGTTGATGGGAAAATGCACCAGATACGGTGAATGGGCCAGCGAAATCCAATTAAAACCAGTTGAGGGATGTGGTTTATCCCATTATTTATAGCTGGTTGGTGGTTGCTGCTCAACCCTCTGAAAAATATAAGAGTCAGTTGGGATGATGACCTTCCCGATATGATGGAAAGTCATAATCCAGCCATGTTCCAGTCACCAGCAACCAGATAGGGTTTCAACCAAGGTGATGCAGGACTTCGCAACCATCGACTTGGTAGGTCTGAATCCCCAAGAAAACATCTTCCAACAATCATGGACTCAGACTCAGAACAGCTTAGACAACGTCCCAGAGTCACCTTCGCGACCCCGTTTTGGGGCAGTATGGTCACCTTCGCTGTGGTTCCCCATAGGTCCCTCAGAAAAAACCCAAGTCATCTCTCCAAGTTATGTATGGAGGTTTCCCAAAAATCAAAAGCTACCCCCAGTTCTGAATCTGAATCAATCTATCTCCCATCATCCGCCAAAATCCCAGCCATCGCCTTTCCCCCACCGGTCACGTGAAAAACGAAGGCCCAGCAGCCATCTCCACTCCCGTCTGCATGTTCTTAGTGCTCACCTTGATGGGGAAGAGACCCACCTTTGGTGGAACACCTGACAGTCGACGCACCAATGGGCGAAGGTCGGCTCGCCGGAGTCCGACAGGGAGATGTTCTGGGTAAAAGAAAACTCATCAAATAGCAATTGATCCTGGTCAAATATGGTAACATATGGTAAAATATGGTAAAATATGGTAACATATGGTAACATATGGTAAAATATAGTAAAATATTGTAAAATATTGTAAAATATGGTAAGACATGGTAAAATATGGTAAAATATGGTAAACTATGGTAAAATATGGTAACATATGGTAACATATGGTAAAATATGGTAAAATATGGTAAAGTGTGGTAAAAGGTAAAGTGTGGTAAAATATGGTAAAATATGGTAACATATGGTAAAATATGGTAACATATGGTAAAATATGGTAAAATATGGTAAAATATTGTAAAATATGGTAAACTATGGTAAAATATGGTAACATATGGTAACATATGGTAACATATGGTAAAATATGGTAAAACATAGTAAAATATGGTAAAATATGGTAAACTATGGTAAAATATGGTAACATATGGTAACATATGGTAACATATGGTAAAATATGGTAAAATATGGTAAAATATGGTAAAACATAGTAAAACATGGTAAAATATGGTAAAATATGGTAACATATGGTAAAACAAAGTAAAATATGGTAAAATATGGTAAAATATGGTAAAACATAGTAAAATATGGTAAAATATGGTAAACTATGGTAAAATATGGTAACATATGGTAACATATGGTAAAATATGGTAACATATGGTAAAATATGGTAACATATGGTAAAATATGGTAAAATATGGTAAAATATTGTAAAATATGGTAAAATATGGTAACATATGGTAAAATATAGTAAAATATTGTAAAATATTGTAAAATATGGTAAAACATAGTAAAATATGGTAAAATATGGTAAACTATGGTAAAATATGGTAACATATGGTAACATATGGTAAAATATGGTAACATATGGTAAAATATGGTAAAATATGGTAAAATATGGCAACGTATGGTAAAATATGGTAAAATATGGTAAAATATGGTAAAATATGGCAAAATATGCTAAAATGCTTCTACCCATAAACCTTCACTGTACTTGTTCAATTGTTTTTTAATCAGCCATAGATCCTGAAAAAAATGGTGCTCGGTGAAAACCTCATTTTCTCGGTGGAGATGCCTAGGATGCCGATGCTGTGCTGATTTTTTTATATCATGGGGTAACTTTTTCTACAAAGTGATGGTCCAATATTACCCTCTGGTAAATTAACATAGACCCTGAAAATTACCAATTTATAGTGGAAACTAGTCTTCCCACCCCTTACTACCAGGGTCTATCTTAATTTACCAGAGGGTATTTATATCCCATTGTTATTAGATATATTACCAATATAAATAATATAATACTCCAGTTATCAGTGTTATGCCTGATGGATAATATGGATAGTTATAGTGATCCAATTCAAGACCGACATCCAAGCCGAAACATGTCTGGGACTGTGATTGACTGCCCGGCTATGTGATCAAACGTGGTTTTTTAACAACATCTGGCTGAATAATCTGAATTGAACATGCTTCCTCGAAATATCATCTCACCATATCTTACCTCTTTTTTTTCACATTTTTCCTTTGAGGTGCTTCCCGTTTAGATCGTTACTAGTCATGTAGCGCTCTGCCGGTATCACCCAGATGTCCACGGCGCGGTGTGCGCCTGCGAAGAGCAAGGATCCGGGCTCAAAGTTCAGCCACGAAGGGAGGGAATCTCCTGGACACGGTGATCATCGAAACCACCACTCAATTTGGACGGACCATAGGTGACCTATGTATTAAAGTTGTAACAAAAACACAAGCGAAATCTCCCAGAGTTCTGAGATTCTATGAGATTCTGAGATTCCTTTTGATAATTTTGGAACCATAGACATACCGTATTTCCCCAGCAAGTTCACTGTTGTCATGATCCTTCGCACCAGTGATCCGCAGATCTTGGCTGAAAAATTCTCGGATGGGTTGAAGCAAGCAATGTTGGTGAAGAAAGGGTCTCTGAGCCACACAAAAGCAAATACAACAGATCATAATATCTATGTATCTATCATATATATAGGTATTATATATATATAATTATATATATCTCATAATGATTTATGATTTATATTGATTTATGATGCATGAACATAAAATACACTTTTTATACCTTTTGATTTTGTAGACAGTGCCGAGATCCCAAAAGAAGGGAGCCAGTCGTCGGCCAAGTCGGCCAGGGTTAGTCGGTTGCTGCGCCGTTGAAATCCCCAACCCCCAGGCCCAGTTCTCATCTGGGTGATATCTGCTGAAGAAATAACCGAAAAAAAATGCAACGGGTTATACCTTGGAATTGGGGTGTTGAATTGAATTTACCAGATTAATAGTTCTCATCTTGGTTTTGAATTTAACTTATTAACACTTGTTCTTTGGGGAAATACCTGCGAATCATGACATTGAACTAACATAGCTATTGAAAATGGCCCATAGAAATAGTTGATTTACCGAACTTAAAGATGGTGATTTTCCAGTTTGCCATGTAAACGTTTACCAGAGGGCAGTAATATTATCCCACCCGGAATCCCGGTATCTCCCAACTATCCCATCCCATTGTATCCCAGAAAGTGCTTGGTGTGATCCATTGTTGTTGGGGTATTCCATTCAACTACCTCTCATCGTGGTATATCCCGTGTCGTGTATACCATTGGATATCACTATGATATCCCAAAATTCTGGGAAAGAAAACTTCACAATATCACATTCCATAAGTTAAATCCGGTTACATATCCCATTTTGAACGTACATTTTGATTAGTGTGACTAATTGCATCAATGGCTTCCATTTCAAGTATATAATAGCTTCATTAATGTTCATTAATAATATATCTCATCATCAATTAGTCGTATCTTTATTACTATCGTTCTTTGTCGACCCCATATCTGAATTAGTTAATTACTATCAATTAGTCATGTCTTAATTGCTATTATTAATCATATTAGAAAAACAGCCACACAGCCACCGCTCCTGACTGCAAGGTGGCCGTATGGCTCAGCGACACTGACAGATCCGTGGTCACGGACACGGGGATCATAAAGCTAAAGTCCTCACCTGAGATGCGCCAGGTGTGATATTAATGTCATGCGAGGAAATCTGGTTGGTGGTATACCCACCCCTCTGAAAAATGATGGAGTTCGTCAGTTGGGATGATGACATTCCCAATACATGGAAAAATGATAGCCATGTTCCAAACCACCAACCAGAATTGATACTATATGTCAGATGTGATATATTGTGATATCACATGTCAGGGATGACATAGACTTTGGTCATATTATGTTTTGACTTACACGACTGGCTGATGGGTATGATCATCATATTATGTTTTTGCTTACATGACTGGTTGATCCTGGGGTGATTTTGGATAGTAAATCATCAATGTATTGAGAGCTTCTAGGAACTGAAACACCCAAGGATTTGTCTCAGCCATAGTGGCCATAATTTCAGATTCCACATGACTCATAGTGTCGTAGTGGATTGTGCTGAAGAAAATGTGAGCCACTAAAAAGTTCTTCGCAAACAACGTTGACGATTTATGGCTTCACCTTTGAAGGGAACCAATTCAGACCCCAGAGTCCCCTGGACTCATCGGTGAACATCTTCAGCCAATCCGGGAAACAAACAGTGTTTTTTTCGACCGATTCAAGCAACAAACATATGCAAAAGATGAAGCCTTGTTGGATTTGGTAATGGGAATTTATAATAAAGACACTAAAGTTCTCACATTTGCCCAGCATAAATTAAGCATAGATAAGCA